ACAGGAGACCTGCCAGTCATCCTTAGAACCGAGGTGACTTCGGTGTCTCGTCTGATGCTTTTAACTTTGTTATTCAACGAGTTTATTTCGCTTTTGAGAAATTGTACTTCTTTCGCAAAGTTGTTTGCCACCTTTGTAGATCAGGCTATCTCCCTGACTTCTCACCCATTGGAAACTGTCTGCTTATTTCGAAAGTTTCGACTTGGCTACCGGATTATACGTTTTGACTAAGTTACTCAAATAAATTACTTTCATATTCTGGTTTATTACTCTTGCCTTTTTCTCCAGCTCCCCCGGAGTATGCGTAAACACTCCTTTAAGGATGTTAAACAGTGATCACATAGCCATTTGAGGAATGTGCTGTTGGCGTGGAGTTCGCTACCTATTCACTCAAATAGGAACACTATCGACGGTACAAAAGTTGGCGTTGGTCACACCCTATAGTCTCGGTTTCTTTAGGGTCAGCACCATCATTTGCTCGAAGATATTATGGTTGATGTAAGATTCCTTTTCCAGTTTACTAATTGTGCAACTGAGTTTCAATTTTCATCAACAAAAGCAATCTTGAAAAACAGAAAATGAGATGATACTGATGAACTTGAAAACAGTACCCTGAAAAGATGTCACAAAACGTTGAAGTGAGATATCAATTACCACCGACACCTTCGAATAAGTTCAAAAAAAACCTTTACTTGAGAACCCAATAGGCTGACCAGTTTTTGGATGCAATAAGCCTTTCAAGGAACCAGAGAACTGAATAAGGAACTATGATACGTCAGTTTGTGTGAAGTAGGGATTTTAACCGCGATAACTCATGAAGATTATTCCCTAATACCAGTTTCTTCCAAAAATAAATAATATGGTTATTTCATGAATAAAAATACATTGATTAATCAATCGTAGCAAACAAAGGCAGAACATGTACCGCTTCATAGTTCAATGAAAAATATTAGTTTCTACAAGTTTCTCTCCTGAAGTGTTCCAACCACTACAATTTGTGTAATATAGTTCCTCAAATGAAAACGGAATATTTCGTTAATCAATGTTCAAAAGCATTTGTTGAATATCCTACTCGTGAGACAAATGGCATTCACTGAGACAGTGAATTTTTCTATCCCAGGGGTGAGAGTAACAAGGTGCACACAACCACGTGATGTTTGAGATGGCTTGTAAATCAAAACAGTGTATTGAGTTTTAGCTCGCTGTTCTTTTGTTTGCATCGTTCCATTTTTAACTTTTCTCTCATTCAGTAGCTTCTCCAAGAGCAGTTGTATTAGTTGCTGCCCTTCACACCTGACGGCAGTTCATGTGACACGTCTCTCGCATTATTCCATGCGTTGCTAGTGACAGTTCCTAATGTCTCAAACAAAATGTTTTCAGAACAGAGAAAGAGAGGATTGCATTAAAATGATAAACTGAGACCCTGTTTGGTACCGTCTTGTCATATGTGGTTTTTAAAATCACTTCGATCTGAAACTATTTTTCTCCTGCTTTGGGTAAAGTGATTCTGTTCTGATTTATGTTGAAAGTGAACGAAGAGAAACTTAATATAGATTTTCCCCTAAATTGTGGTATATCCTTTGTCTCTCTTCGAAACTTTGATTTGAAATCAGAATTCTTACAATCATGAAGATTCAATAATCTTCAGGCGTAATACCCCTGTTGAATAACCCAGAGGATTACTTTTCTCACATAGCCAATGAGGCAGCTCGCGTGAGCTTTGAAACTAATTTCCAACCGACATATTAAATACTTTTCAGCTTGCGAAAACTCAATGGAGACACAAACTCACGGTCAAGCAAACAGGTTGTGAACGTTTTGTCTGAATCACAAACGTGAACATCAGTCCAGCAGCTTTTCGATTTTTGAGCTGAGTAAAAATGAACTTAGTCTCAAGCATATTAACTCCTTTGAGAATTGAAACTAAGCAACTTTGCGCACGAGATGCCAAATAAAACGGTGATGGGTAAAATAAAAAAATACCTCCGTATGTGTCTGATATCAGATTATCTGAATAAAAAAGTAACAGCCTATGTGAGCAGTCTATCAGACGGAGCATCATATCTGAGACTTATTCCATCGGTTTCGTCTTTTTTTGTATGATGTACAGATAGTTGCTCGTACTCTGAATTTTCATCTGCTTATCTTTATGAGAAAATATTTAGAGTGGTCGAAAACATCTGCGAGGTCAAAACTCGTGAATTTCAGGTATGATGACAAAACATCAATAAAAATGCTACAATAACTCGTCGAAAGAACGAGCATAGAACCCTTAGCCTCAGCTACTCATGCGTTAAGTCTGCTGATTTACTTCATTCTCACGCAACCTACACGGTCAGATTTTCTGCAGGACATTATTAGCTACCTCGCTGTATGAGCACTGTTTTATTAATCGCCTAACAGCGTTAGTGTCTATAACATTTTCAATGAATCTGTGAAATTATAGGCTATTTGTCAATGTTCTACTGGGAGTCACTTACTCAACTGTTTATGAAGATGCAAAAACTCTCAGTTTCTTTTTTATTATCTCAACTGAACGATGTTTCTTTGCTTATGGGAGGTGCAGTTGCCTTTTAAACATATAATAATAAAATCAGTATAAATTAAATAAAATACTACGAATCACGAAGTCCAGTAATCGGCACTATTAGTTCCAATAAGTGTACGCAATCAAGAAGTCGCGGAAAGTCAAGTCAGTCAAGTGATTCTAAACTCACCCCAAGGGATGATTATTCAGTCAGCTGCTACTCGGAGAAGTGTGTGTACAGGCAGTAGTATGCATGTATTGACAAGACATGCATGATTTGAACAACCAAAAAGAAACTACCAGAGTAGTGTGGGTCTTGTTTGCTTGCGCGTGAATAACAGTCTATCAGTGAGCATGAAGAACCATAAGTTAGCCGAAGCAAGCCAACTGGCTGGAGCTTGGTAAGTGTTAGCCCGGCACATCCAGCTGGGACTGTTCAGATGTACGGAAATTTGGGGAGCACGCAAGGCTAATAAGACGAATGGCATACGGATGGGATAGATAACGGAAGTCAGGAATCAAATGATGCTTCGCTAGCAGTCAGAAAAAAACCAAAGTCAAGCCACAGAGGCGTCTGTGCGAGCCTATAGAGCAAAGAGTACAGAGGGAGGAAAGTCCAGAATGAATCACGAGATAGTGTGTCATACAGGCGGTTGAATCAGGAACAGCTTGGTTCGGATTGATAAGGCAAAACTATACATGGGATGACAATAAAGATGATTGTGAGAAATGAAAGCAGTGTTAATATACCTACATCAGAAACCGGGATCAGTATGTGCCGAACCAGTTTGCCGTCATCCTGTTGCCTTAGTAACATTCTACCTCACACAATGAAGATCATAATGACACTAATAGAACCACTTTTGGGATGATGATTTAGTAATACTATCAATGAGCTGCATCATAGTATTTCAAGAGGTAGTGGCCTTTAACCGGGGCCTGTGAAGTGTGGGAATCGACCGATGGTGACAAGATTTGAACCCTGCATGTCTTCGTATACGGTTAGTAATACGATGACTGTTTCACCAACGTTGGCAGACCAATTGTTTGAACTTTGAAAGTACCATTGAAAATACTATATTATATTGGTGAACTACAGCTAGACGACAAAGCAATTCTTCATCGGGCACCCAAATACGCAATCTCATGTTTACTATTCAAATGAATTCGATCGTTCTCCAGTTATATTTTTGGTAAACAGATCGATATGAATTTAGCATTAACTCAGTTGCTTACGAATGTGTTAACGAAGAGCAATCCACTGATCGTATGTTTGGACAGAACCATGAAAATTACGTGTGACAAGAGGAGTGTCGATATTGCATGATGAGTTGTATTATTTCTAAAATCGAACACCCTACATGCTTCCTGAGTACCCATTCTCATGAATTTATTCAAAATGTCCCCACGAAAAACTTTGATTTAATATATTCGGCGACTTATCTCATTGTCGGTCTCATGACAACGTACGATCCTATTGGGTGACATAACTGGCTCCACGTGATAAGTCGACTCCAAGTTTCTCGAAACTGAGAATTTCCAAAATAAGATACAAAATTACTCTAGCCAAGAACGAGAAAAATTCTACCAAGAATGGCCGTGAGCTCACTTTCAGGAACCCCAGATGCGCAAGAAATGCAATTGCTCCATTGTAGCAGCCCATTGAGAATTCATTAACACAGGTTTCTCAAAAGTAACTTTTACCAACTGTTACCATTTTCAGATTAGGTCACAGTCAAACTGCATAGAGCGGATCGAACCTAGATATACTTCCTGGCTTGCTAGAAATCTCTAAACTCGGAAAACAACCGCCTATTCATCAGTGAACTGGTGGCTTTGCAAGTAGCGCCGTCATCATTGAGATGAATAATTGAATACCTTTGAAAACGCTAGTTCTACATCGGGGTGGAAGGTGCCGTCTGTTATATGAGATAGGAGCGTACTATGAATAAATAGTGGCGCTCTTTAGAGACATTATTTTTTAACCTCTGTCTTATTGATTCAGCCGTCCAACCTAAATCCCCAATAAACTAGCCTTCTGTCGACGATGGAATAGGCGGCGCCCTGGTTGGTAGTGACGTCTATTCTGATCTAAATCCATACCGTCCTGTTCAGGAAACCGAGGCCCGTGTTCATCTATTTAACGGCTAGCCCCACGATGCAAGGGCCCATCGAACGCCCGGGGCTTAGACAAGCTACATAAATGATCCACCTATTGGTGGTGATCCACGGGTCTTCGAAAGCAATCCCAAGGGGCCGCCGCGTACGCCAAAGCCCATCGGGCTCTCTATCAACTACGAAGAAAATATGACTCTGGTAACCCACGGGCTACCTCCCGATATACAGACTCATTTCTGGGCCCTTCTTATTGCATAGTGTACTAGCATAGGCTCCATCTATGGTCAGGGATCGGGGAGTTCTGGTGCACGTGCGACGGACTTAAATCAGGGTCGTTCCGGTTTCAGAAACTTACCATTGACGGAAAAATGGAATGAAATTGAACCTGTCTCTCATGCTTGGAAACGGATGAGTGAACTGATCGACACTTTCGAACTACAAGAAGAGATACCTGATATTATTGTATCTATGTATTCGAAAAATACCTGGCCCTGATAGGATCTCTTTATTCTCGAGAAGCTCGGAATACGCATAAATTACCTAGAAAGTTACTTATGTTACAAAACCACTTACCCTTTGGTACAAATCTCTCGCACATTCTTCCTCCACCTCACCATCAGTCTCTGCTACCAGCTGGTTTGTTCTTTCTCGAGCCGAATTCATCCATTTTCATTCCAGATAGTTTTTGAGGCACACTCCGCTCCGCTTGCCTAAAACCAGTTCTTTGTCCCAGTTTTTACACTCTTCTTAATTGTAACTCTGCGTGTTTTCCAGAAACGATACCAATTTAAATGTTTGAAACCGCGACCGTCAAACACCAGATGTGAATGAAGCAATTCTGCAGATAAGGCATATTGAATCCCCGAGGTTTAGTCGTGTAAGAATCTGGATTCTCATTGGCAGTCGCAGTCAATTTTGGACAGTGTGTGTTGTGACGGCTAAAGGCCAGACTATATTCAACTCCGTGGTTGGATGGGTCCTGATTACATACCTATTAATCTTCAGGTACGTTTTACATACTGTGAACTCCCGAAATTCTGCAGAAGTCTATGAGTTGGGTATTCATGTAACTCAATGCAGCTCAGAGCACAATCTCAGTGATGGCAAGCATGAATGTATTTGAGAAAAAGGCGTGTGTCTATAGGCATTTTCTCTTATTTCGGAGCTGAAGGGTACATTCAGTGTTGAAGAACGAGGTTGTGTGTTAGAGATTTCCCTGTCGCATGAACTTCTAGGAAGTCTCTATAGCACGTGAATTAAGAATACCACAATTACAATCATAAATTCGAAAAGAAATCCATGCTGAAAATAACTAGCTCAGATTCTGTTAAACGTAGAAATGACGCCTGAAGAGTTCTGATAACAAAAAAACTTCTTCTTCCGTTCAAGAAGAAAACTAGGTAGATTACTTAATATTCTTTTCCTGGGGTTCTTCAATTTCTTTTTTTTGCAGTTTATTTTCGCCTGCTGATTATTTTCTCCATTGATGAGGCTCTACCGGCAAATCTCGAAGCCATATTTCCTTCCTCACTTTCAATTTCCGTGCCTGCTGTACTCCACGGTTGTAATAATAATTGCACGTGCTTCTCATGTTTTCCAACGCCTTTGTAGGTCACTGATATGTTGAGTTTTAGACTTCAGAAGATCACCTATTGCTTGTAGCAACATCACAGTTCTTCCGAGCACTTCCTGTGCTGCAGAGTATAACACAATGAAGCTAGGGAAGTGTCCTTATTCCAGACGCGTTAAATAGGGGCCAATAGAGAACTGCTTCGCTAAAGTCAAAGGTCTTACAACAATTTCCACCGTTTTTCGTTTTTACCATTTGATTGTCTGTGGTATGGACCGTTGGTCCGATGTTCAAATTTCTATTTCCGACTGGGCTGCCGGAATTTTACGCTAGTGAAATGGGGCCCGCTCTCAGAAAATAGCGTCTCTTAGATTTCGTGTTGAGCCAAATAACCGTGTAATCTACTGATCACGTTGTGTATACTCATAGTAATTAGAAGGTAGGTTCTCAAGAAATCAATGCAACAGAAAACCAGAACGAGGAAGTGTTTCCGTTCATGCTCGAAGACATCTGTGGCCAAAATCTCCCAAATGTGAATAGGTAAGTCTCGGAAAACCATTACATATTTTCTTTGCCTGCTCTCATGCTTTTGCGAAGATCACACCAATTATTAATAGACTTTATTCTGACTATTTATAGCAGACCAGTAAAACTTTCTATGTCCTGCCAGTGGAACTGTTAAGGCCCATGTTTGGTATGCTTTTCAGGAGCTCATCAAAGTCTTTCCCTGACTGGTCAGAGGGAGACTTTTGTTTTCCACAATATGCGTCGAGCAATGTGATTGGCGGAAGAGGATGCTTATTTGTCGTGTCTGTGTATGCGCCAACTGGCTGCAGTTCCTCTGAGACAAATGACAAATTCTACCAGGATTTCTCTCAAATGGTCTAAAGCCTACTTTGTTTGGAAGTGGGGGTCATTGCTGAGTATTTCAAAGCCCGGTTGGCCGTTTGAGAGATTCAGAAATGCCTATTGGAAGCCCGTTCGCTATCCCATCTAATCGAACTGACAACGGTGATCGTCTCATTTAACGGTGCTCCAACCACATATAGTTTCTGATGAGTACTAACTTCCGCCATTGGAAGAGGCTTAAACTGGCGTGGAGTCCTGTTTTGTCTTTACAACCTTGGTTTCTAACTGGTCATATTTTGACTAGTCACAGGTGGCGTGGATAAATTGAAGATTGCTGTTCATTTTGGTCTACGCCTGTGGACTCAGATCACGTCCTGGTACGTACTCGCTTACTTTTACGTCTCGCCCGTGGACTCACCAACATAAATGCCGCCAGTCTAGCAGAGCTGGCTCAACACAATAACCAGCTATACCATTTCCAGGGGGAACTGTGTAAACAGTTAACGAGGCAGCCTGATGTTCAGGACCCAGATGAACGCTGGGAACAAATCAGGGAAGCTTTATATGCCGCTTCAAATGCAACCTGGGGCTCTCGTTTAAATCAGCCTCACAGATGATGGATATCTTCAACATTGGTTTCTCTGTCTGATGCTGGCAGATCCGTCTCGCCGGGTGCATTATTGCAGGAATTGCGCAAATCCCTGAGACTCCAATTGACCAGGAGTCTGAGAAATGACCTTGAACATTGGTGGATTGCGAAAGGTAGGGGAAGGCGAAAGGCTGCTTCCATTGGCAATGCTTGCAACTTTTCCGTTTGATCAGAGTCACTGGCCCACGGAAGTCTGGTGTAAGTGAATCAATTAAAGAATCAGATATCGCCATGATGTACCCTCATGGACGTCGTTTGGATCATTCGGCTCAGCTTTTTAAGGAACAACTCAGTTCGCTCACTTCAACGATGGACCTCCATAATATACTAGCCAAAGAATCGATGCGGATGGATATCAGTCCTCCATCAAAGATGGGGATTATGTGGGAGGTGGATTATTTGAAAGGGTACAAGTCCGCTGGACCGGACGGGTCATCTCCATCTATTCTCAAAGATAGAGGTAAAGCTTTGGTTTTAGAGTTAACAAAACTCCCCCGCATTATTTGAGATCCCCAGAGAATGGTGTGAATCGGTGGTTGTGGCGATTTACAAAAAAGGTGGCAAGTCTTCTCACGAAAACAACAGTGGAATCAGCTTGGGAAGTGTCGCTTCCAAACTGCTCACCGGGCTCATCCATTACCGGTTATCCAACGCCCCCGAAATATGTACTCGTGAGAATCAAACCGGTTTCACAATCGGTCGTGGTTGCTTGTACGCAAACAGCCGAATCCGACATCGTGTCCACGGCGCTCTTTCACCTCAGTGAGTTCACCACGGAGAGTGAAGTTCGTCAGGGTTGCTCCCTTTCACCCTTCATCTTCAATTTTTTGACTGAATTGTTTCCTGAGATAGCGCTGTTCTCATGTGAGAATAGCGGTGCCGATCTTTGCTCAGGCAGTAAACTGTCCTACCTGGAATACGCAGACGATATTGTTCTTCTAGATGAAGATTCCGGTGAGTTGCAAGCCCTCTTAGATAGCCTCAACAACAGTGTAAGAATGTTTTGGATGCGGTTTGCACCTTCCAATTGTAAAATGCTGTTGAGGGACTGGGTTGGCTCAACACCAAACCTTATGTTGGCCGGGGAAGCTCTAGCTGAAGTGGATAAATTTTGTTACCTGAGCAGTACATCTCACCAGGTGGACAGATATCGAATGAAGATTCATCCCGTATACAGAAGGCTCATTTGGCTTTTGCCAACCTCCGTCATCTATGGTGCCGGCTTGATATCCTATTGTCAGTTGAAGGCAGAGCTAACAATGAGGCGGTTGCATCGGTTCTTTAATATGCTTCAGAAACATGGCCAATGAGAGTAGAAGATATACGAAGATTGTCAGTGTTCGAGCACCAGTGTTTCCGTAGCACTGTCAATGTATGGTGGGAAAACTGTATGAGCAATTTTGAGGTAAGGGGTAAGGTGTTGGGAACCAGAGGTCACTCCGTGTACCAAGTTGTGAATCTTAACAGGTTGAGGTGGTTGGGGCATGTGTTGCGCATGCCCACCGATAGACTTCCTCAGCGTATGCAATTCTCTGAGACAAGTAGTGATTAGAAGTTAAGTCAAGGTGATCAGTCCATGGTAAGGCAAAAGGTATGAAAACCTTGACCAGTTGACTTGGCCAGGTAGGATGTGTTAGACTGCTAGTTTGGGGCCCACGTGATCCGTCTACGAAATTGTTAGAAACACTAAGAGGTATGGCCAGTTGTAGCGGCCAGTGGTTATTTACATTCGGACTCTTTCCGTGTTGTCTTTATTTCTGTTTGATACTTGGAATATGTTGGATCTTCCACTTTACTCTTCAGTTTCGTTACCGTGGACTCGACGGTACTGGAAATTAACAATCAAAACCAGAGCACAGAACTAAGTGGTTATTGGGTGACGAAACTGAAACTGAAACCGAGTGAAAACAACCGTAGTTATGGAGCACACACAATAACACGAGCTTCTATTGATTAGTAAGACATAACGTGAGTAGAATTTCTCAAATTCGTGAAGAGAATTACAATTTCAACAAGTATAGTGATTGGGTCATGATAAAGAAATGTTTTGAAAACCTGTTCACATGTGGTTGTCCTGCTACTTCTTTTTTACGGAAGACAGTCTAGTGTTTCCGGGTTTATATGCCAATACCATTCGTCATTTTGATTTGGAGAGTAGGCATGCGACAGGGTGGGACCTTAAAATATCATGTGCAGAGAGCTGAGAGAGCACACAGGACGAAATATTATTTCACAATCAGTATTTCTAAATGCCAATCGCGGTGCTGAATAACGAGTAGGCCATTCAGCGCAATCAGGCTTGAGTGGTCTGCTAAGTTGCACTGATTCACAGCTGCGAGTGATAAACTGATAAATCGGAGAATGTGAAGTTGGCGATAAATCTCACTTCAAAACATGATTTTATTTATATGTAACTTATTTGTCCTTGGAAGTTTCATATGCTCGGTAAAATGGGATTGGGTATA